GCTACAACTGTACTATACGATACTATACGATACACTACACTATACCAAACTAAACTAAACTAAACTGAACTCTACTCTACTCTACTATACTATACATACTATACTATACTATACTGTACTGTATTTTGCGATACTATACTATACAATACAATACTATACTATACTATACTAGAGCATACAAGAAAACACCAAAATATACTACAAGAGCTAAAAACCCCACCTGCCTTTTCTGCCCCAGCTCCTGGGTCTAGGACATTTTCAGGTGGGTAGTTACCGTGGCAGAAGCCCTATAGAATACCATAGAAGGTCGATATACCTTATAAAAGCCTTATAGAAGACCTATATACCCTAAACTCGCCTAAACCCTAAACCCTAAACCCTAAACCCTAAACCCTAAACCCTAAACCCTAAACCCTAAACCCCTAAACCCCTAAACCCCTAAAATCCCTAATCCCTAAAAGCCCTAAGCCCTAAACCCTGAACCCCTAAACCCCTAAACCCTAAACCCTAAAAGCCCTAAACCCTATATTATCCTAAACTCCCCACCTGCAGTTTCCTTCAACCTGGGGGTCTCAGACTTTTCGAGGTCTCTGCCAGGGAGCCCACGGCCGGACAGCCTGGAGCTTCCAGCGGCTAACCAGAAACTGGAGCTTTGGGGGGTGTAGGTAGTATAGCAAAGTTATTATATAGTATAGCTATAGTATAGCTATAGTAAGGTTATAGTAGAGTTATAGTAGAGTTATAGTATAGTTGTAGTAGAGTTGTAGTATAGTTATAGTATAGTTGTAGTATATTATAGTATACCATAGTATACTATAGTGTGTTCTAGTGTATTGTAGTGGTGTTATGGTGTATTGTAGTAATTATATTATATGTATATTCCGATACAATGAAGTATATCATGGCATAGCATCGTATATTATAGGGTTAATAATGAGGATCTGGACCTAAGTTGCAGACGGACCTTAGTTTAAGTTGCCGTCCATTGCAGGAAGCCCTATGATGCACTGTAGATCCTTGCTATGGTGGCTGGGATTAAGGTCCTTAGCAAGAGGGGTTTTATCTCATGGAAGAAGGGGCCGGCTCCTTTTCTGAGGATGTATTGGCCTGAACGGTATGAAGGATCCTGCTCCCTTGCGTTTCTGGTCTTTGTCTGAAGCCAGAGAGCCCAATACCCTTAATTAAGGAATGTATCTTAAATCGCAATATTAGCGCCCCTATCATTCAAGGTATATTCCTCAATTAAGGGGTATTGGGCTCTCTGGGAAGCTCCCATGTGGCTTCAGTTGTAATCAGCCTTGGAACGAGGTGCACTTAGCCTAAACCCCTCCAGAGCCGACGCACCGGAAACCCTAAATTGCTCAATCCTAGTTACAGTACATGATAGAAGCCCCGGTTCTGCTCCTTGCGAAGCGGGGGCTCGGCGGGGGCCCTAAGGAGTCGCAGAAGGCCAAAAGAGGCTGCGCTCGAAGCAAGGCCAAGCCTTCGACCAGGGGTTGCGTGTGTGTGTGTGTGATGGGATGTTATGGGGACCCTGATGTGATCCCTGTCATGGTAAACCTCATATGACCCTTGCTATGGGAACAAGCATCATCCCACTTCTGGGAGCCACAAAAAAGGATCTCCGTTATGGGAACCCTCCTCCCTTCCTGCCAAGTCCGGGATTTCCGTATCTTGTCCCTTGTATCTTGCCTGTAATTCAGTTTCCTTTAATTCCTAGTTACGAATTACGAAAATACCGTTTGCTAGAGGGTCTTTCCTCCTCAGCGAGGGAGAGGGTATGTTAACTCAGCACTGGATGTGACTCAGCTCTGTTACCAGGCTACTCATACCAAGAGGCAGGGCTTCGGCTTAAGTGGCTTAGGGGGGTTGATTTAGGGATTTTGGGGGTGGGTTGAATTCCGGCTTTCCAAGATCCGAGTGTTTCCGCAGTCTTTCGTGTTTTCTCGGTGGTCGTCAAAGTAATGGCTTCCTCCAAGACCCCTTTGGTTGAGGAATATTCTGTAAGTTGCTGAATAAAACACCCCGAATCAAGAAATCCTGGAGTCTCCATTGAATTCATATAGAAGCCTGAATTAATAATAAAAAATTCGTTCTTTGGGGGTTCCTCATTATAATTGTAGTATAATATACCCCCAAACCTTACTCTAATTATTACGGCCCCTGCATTATTCGTACCGCAATATATACCAGTACCCTCCGAATCTCAGGGCCCCTTGGGAGTTGTGTTGGCCTTGGAAGCCCGTGGCATTTTTGCGAGGCGTGGTGTGTTCAGCAGCTGCTGCACCTCAGCTGGGCAAATGGGTTTAGGGTTTAGGGTTTAGGGTAAGTCCATTCTTCTGTTGCTCTTCCTCTTGCCTTTATCAGCTTGTTCATCACGATGGGGTGTCTATCAGGCCACTTCTATACAGGATCAGGCTTTGTTGATTAACTGAGGTTGACAGTTCTGTTGACTACTGCCTTTCTTGATTGCATGACCTTCCTTAACCCGAAACCCTAAGCCCTATAAGTCCTAAGCCCTAAACCCGAAACCCTAAGCCCTATAAACCCTCAGCCCTATAAACCCTAAACCCTAAACCCCCCCTATAAACTGCTGAGGTACTGGGCAAGTACGCGCCTCTGGATGGGCCAGGCGCTCCACGTGGACGCCGAGCTGCCCGGCTGTGCATAAAAAAGGGGTCCCAATCATGAGAATCAGGTTTCGGGGGTGATCATAAATAAAAGTATAGCAATGGGTATTTGGGGGTAATTGTAATTTATATTATGCATATAATCAGGTTTTGGGGAGTAATCATATTTAATCAAAGTATAGCAATGGGTATTTGGGGGGTAATTGTAACTTGTATTGTGAATATAATCCGGGATCTCAAGAACACGTAGCATTCTTCAGGCTTCTAATATATTGGGCGGATCCAGCCTGCGTTGTCGTTGAGGGCGAGCAACGGCCGACTGTGTTGCGTTTCAGTCTCAGAAAGGGCGGAAGCTCTTCATCGTCCATCGTAAGTTTCTGTCAAGGTTTTTCGGCCGCCTACGCGACAGTGTGGAGGCGAGGAATTGGCGAAATGAGTTAAAGTTTGCTATGATGGCCGCATGTCATGCGTGTCGTTGCAGTGCTCAGACTGCAAGCTGCCACGGTTTCGAGAGTGCCCCGGCAGAGGCCATCTGGGCAGAGCAGAGAACACCACGAAGCCAGCTGGCGAAGCTGGCGACGCAGATGGCGCCGGGCACCCATGGGCACCCTGCGCAGGGCTTCGTCGGTGGTTGTTGCGGATTGATATGTGCTTGCTGCTTTTCAGTCTTTTGCAGTTTTTAGGTGATGGATTGAAACCAAAATCGCTGAATCCGAAGCATTCCGGCGCGGAGGTTCCCCATTATGCAGAGTCTCAAAAACTTGAAGCAACAGATGCTGTGAATCCAGTACATGCTCCGGATGCGTTTGTTGGTTGTGGCTGAATGCATCAGGGTCGTACGTGAATCGAGCACTTGAATTTGATGTTTGGAAGCCACGCTCCCCTTTCTGCCCCGAAGCTTCCGCAAGCAGCAAGCATCTCGCAAGACGGAGAGTTTGAGATCCAATATTGCGACCGTTGCAGCTTGCCCGCCTCGGGTGCTCAAAATCGCCCAAACCGCGGAGAAAGCCTAATACAGGGGCCTAAATAATTACCTAAAAAAATTCTGGGGGTTCCTTAGTATACTTATAGTATAATGGGCACCAGAACCCTATTCGAATTATTAAGGCCCCTACATTACACCGACCACCAGGTGGCTGACGACGACGCCGGACTTGGCCGTCAACCCCACGGCCTTCCAGGCCTTTCATCAAAAGAGGGTGGGTGGTGTTTCTTAAGCCTTTCAGTGCTTCTTGTTGTTAGGCTGTCTTGGGTATTCTCGCTATGATGATGATGTCGATGATTCTTGGCATTTCTGCTGTTCTTTCCGGTTTGGACTGCGCGTTCGGGCGGTGAGAACATCTGAAGGTTTTCTTGCCCTGCTTCGACATAGGAGTCGGTACATCGAAGCATTGTAACAAGTCAAGAATCCTAGACCCCCCCCCCCCCCCCAAAAAAAAAGGCCCTAAACCCCTCTAAAGGCCCGAGCTCCTCCTGCAGTTCCTCACGGGTCCTGCCCTCCTAGTCCTGAGGCTTTCCTCCAGGAGCTCTACGAGCTCGTGGACAAGCTGCCCTTCCCACACGTCTCCAGCCGCAAGTCACGGAGACTTTGAGGCAACAGAAACGGGAGGTTCTTTTTTAAGGGCCAAAAAGGGGGAAGGCCGGTGTTCTTTTGTGGGCGATCGTGGCGAGGCTTTCGGGAGGTTCCCAAGATTCCAAGCCTTCATCCCGATGGAAAAAAGGGGCCCTCGAGAATCCTGAACCCCTAAGGAGAGCCAAAGAAGCTCAAGAGATCAAAGTCAATCTCTTTGGAGAGAAGATCCCAGCACGATGCTCGCCGGCAGTTTCAGGGCAACCAATGTATTTGTAGCCGATCTCACCTCGTGGTTGTGGTGTTTTATGGAGGCTCTCAGGAGCACTGCCATGTGTGTCACTGCAATGGCCTTTGGCGTCCGGCATCTCTCAACAACCCTTTCTGACGTCTGTCTCTTATGCAGTGCTGCAGACGAGGCAGGGCGCTTTGGCACCCCGCGGAGCGCAAAGTTCGCATTCAGCTGGGTAGCGGCTTGGCAGCAAGGCTTTGCACCTTGGAGCAGGCAGCTGCGACCCTATCTGCAGAGAAATGCGAACGTGGGGCAACATCAGCGCGACTCTGAGGCTCAGTTGTCCAAGGCTTGACCGAGCATCACTAGGGCACGGCATGCAAGAAGTCTACACTTTACATAGCAGAATATCTTCGGATATACTCTTATATAGTATATAGTACATAGTATAATCCATTATGCCACAGCGAACAATAGTAACACACAGTCCACTATATAAAGTGTAGAGCCAGAACTTTTCATCGCGCCTGAGCCCCGCTCTGCCCGCCCTGCGATGCGGCGATGAGGTATGGAGCGGTACCGTTTTGGAGTTCTGGGCGATTCGTCGCTGTACTGCAAGGGGCCTAACAAGCAGCGCAGGAAGCTGGGAAACCGTCTGTGGGAGCTGCTTGGTTCCGAGGTCTGGTACGAGGCGATAGCCAGTGCAGGTGTGGCCCAACTCCTGCAGAAGATCCGATCGGGCCCTCAAGTTGACACATTGGGCGTGTCATACTTCGGGAACGACATCATGCTGGCCCCGATCACCGAGCAAGTGGAGGCGGACTGGAGAGAGTTCATCCACGCTGTAAAGCTGAAATCGCGGCGGTCCGTTTTTGTGATTGGTGGCTTTGCTGCGAAGTATCGGGGCATGCAGCTCTCCTCCGCCTATGACCAGAACCTGCAATACGTGAGGAGTCTTGTGGAGAGTGAAGGTCTCTACGTGACAGACTTACGTCAGAAAGTGCAGAAGTGGAGGCTCTGCAGCGATGGCGTCCACTGGCACGAGGATGAAAAGGAGGACGTCTGCGCCACCTGGGCCCGCCTGCTGCGGGGCGAAGTCCCCCCTTCCTGCGACATGGACTCCGAGGACTTCGCGGAGGACTCCGAGCCACCAGGCGAGGCACCAGGCGGGGACCCCACTTTAAGGGCACTTTAGGGTGCTCCAAGAGAGCAATACTACGGTTGATGATATAAATCCTGCATTACCCATAATGAAGAATATACCATAATTCCCATTGCCGACGCGATGGGCGACTGCACTCCGAGTATACTCGCCAAAACGCTCGAGGATGCTCCAATATGCTCGAGTACGGCGGAGTGGCACTACAATGTATAGCAGCAGTATACAGTATCACATGCATGTACTATATAGTTCATATAATGCTCGTGCATACTCGCACATACCCGCGCATACCCGCGCATACCCGCACATACCCGCGCATACCCGCGCATAGTCACACATACCCGCACATACTCGCGCATACCCGCGCATACTCGCGCATACCCGCGCATACCCGCGCATACCCGCGCATACTCGCGCATACTCGTGCATACCTGCGCATACCCGCGCATACTCGCGCATACTCGTGCATACGCGCGCACACTCGCACACACTCGCGCATACCCGCGCATACCCGCGCATACTCGGGCATACTCGCGCATACTCGTGCATACCCGCGCATACTCGCACATACTCGCACATACCCGCGTATACCCGCGCATACCCGCGCATACCCGTGCATACCCGTGCATACTCGCGCATACCCGCGCATACTCGCGCATACTCGCGCATACTCGCGCATACCCGCGCATACCCGCGCATACCCGCGCATACTCGCGCATACTCGTGCACACCCGCGCATACCCGCGCATACTCGCGCATACTCGTGCATACACGCGCATACTCGCGCATACCCGCGCATACCCGCGCATACCCGCGCATACTCGCGCATACTCGCGCATACCCGCGCATACTCGTGCATACTAGCGCATACTCGCGCATACCTGCGCATACTCAGGCATACTCGCGCGTACTCGAGCATACCCGCGCATACTCGTGCATACTCGCGCATACTCGCGCATACTCGCGCATACCCGCGCATACTCGGGCATACTCGCGCATACTCCCGCATACTCGCGCATACTCGCGCATACTCAGGTTACTCAGGCATACGCAGGCATACTCGCATATACCCGGCGCTATCCGAGACCACAATCTGCAGTCGCCCTTTCCCGCCACAGTGTTAATTCTCATGGATTTAGGGTCCTTGAGGTAATGCAGACTTATATCATCAACATTATCTCCCAAGACCCATTGAGGAAGGCCCCATATAGCTCCTACTATTCATTCTACGTAGGGCGTCTTTTTTCCGCCGAATGTGCCCTTGGCGAAAGGAGTGCTGCAAGAGTAAGTTTGCTCTGTCCAGGGACTGACCAAGATTTTTTTGGGTGGGGCCGCATCATGTCTGTTCTTAGGATCAGGACTCGGTTGGTTGTTTTTGGGGTTCCTCTCTGCTGAGACTATAAGAGCAGAGATGATTGCACAAATGACCGCAGGCGGCCGAGCAGCCTGCTGGACCTCGGCTTCACGGCTGCCGAAAACTCTGCACGTGCCCGACACCGGCTTCCAGGACGCAGAATGGGAGGGCTCCCGCTCCCAGGAATCCCGGGCCTCGCAAGCCAAGAGCTTCTGCGTCACGGTCTTCAGGCACGGGAGGGAGAAGCTCGGGATCCGTCTGGAGGCCGTTTCTGGCCTAGGCTACCACTCGGCAGCACGCGTGCACAGGATCTTCGAAGGTGGCCTCATCGACCGATGGAACCGGACGCAGGAGTCAAATGGCTTACAGGGATGGGCAGTCCAGGTCGACGATGTCATCGTAGGCCTGAACGGACAGCACGAGTTCTCAAGCTCCAGTTCGGAGTTTCAGACGGCTACCACGCTGAACCTGCTGATCATGCGGGGATTGCCCCTGAAGCTCTCGTGAAAGAGACTGTCGGGCTGAGGTTTAGGTTTGCGGATGCTGCTCTTGCTGTCGCCGAGGTTTCTTGAGGTTGTTGATCACGTTGTCCTTGTTGTTCTTGTTAGAGGTGCAACAGGTAACTCACCTGAAAGCAACTTAATCCTAAACCCTCAACTGGCCCTCAACCTGAACCTTACCCGCTTCGACCTCAACCTAAACCGTCCCGACACCATGTAGTCCATCAAATACCGATACTCCCGAACCCTCAGCCCAAACCTTGGTGGTACTAGTGGCAAACAAGTGGCGATGACTGATGCCGCTGATGCCAGCGACGATGACTTCGACGCTGCTGCTGCCACTGCCGAAGGTAATAGTTAGTTCTGCAGCTGCTGCTGTTGCTGATGATGATGATGCTAAAGAATGACGATGACGATGAAGATGGTGATGACGATGCTGCTGCTGCTGATGGTGTTGTTGATGATGGTGACGATGATCAGGATGATGAGCACGTTGCTGATGCCGCAGCCTGCTTTGATGATTGTGAGGATGATGCGGGTGAAAATGCAGATGATGAGGGTGATTGTGATGACGATGGTGCCGATGAAGGGGATGATGTTGTTGATGATGCTGTGGCTCTGTGGTCCTGGGGGCGGTCGTAGTGAGGACGTCGTGATTGGTCATCGCGATGATGATGCTGCTGCTGTTGACGACTGTGCTGGTGGTGGTGATAGCGATGATTCTGAGGATGGCTTGCAGTGTTCTTTGCAGTAGTCGTCGTGATGATGCTGGTGATGAGGATGTTGGCGATGATAGCGCGGACGATGCTGACGATGCTGAAGAATCAGATGATGATAGTGCGAGTACGACGATGGTGACCGATAGTGGTGACGGTGAGTGAGCAGAGGATCAACATGAGGGCTTCGATCGGAGTGGTCATGACATTCCTCCTGACTTCACTGCTGCGCATGTGTGAGGCTTTCGCAAGGGCTACGCAACCCGAAGGCTGTTTGCCTGGTGGACCTATGCCCGCTTGATTGAGCAGAATTCAGGACCGGCTTGTTGCTTGCAAAAGCCTTTGCCGACACATCCCTAAACTCTGCTCCGATCTGCGAATCTTGGCGGCCCACTTCTGCCGCTCTGTGCCATGAAACACAGAAGCACTACGGTTGATGATGTAAATCCTGCATAACCCATAATAAGGAATATACCATAGTTCCCATAGATTAGGGCCCTTAAGGTAATGCAGGATTTAAACCCTAAAACCCTAAACCCTAAACCCTGAACCCCATATGATTTCGGACCTCCGAGCTTGAGGGCCTTAGGGCAACCCTAAACCCTTTCAGCTCGAGGCACGTCTCCACAGTAGCTCCTTGCCGTCAGGAGTCTCTGGGCGCTCCTTCACGAAGGAGGAGTGTCTGAGTGGAGACAGAGCTGCAAAAAGCCCAGTGGTGTTGCCTTTGTTATAGTAATGCTCTAGTATGTTATAGCATATTCGGGTATATTCTTAGTGTATTTAGTACTTAATCGCTTCCCTCGTTGATTAAACACCCTCCTAATAACAAAACACATGGGGCGAATCCTCCCAAAATCATCCCTTCCCTTCAAAACCTATTCTGAATTTGGGGGCGGGGGGTTTTGGCTCCAAGTACGCCTAGAGCACAGTAAGAGCAGGAGTTAGGAGTTAGAGCAAGAGCAGAAGCAAGCGCAAAAGTAAAAGCGGCAGCATCAGCCAGAGCAGCAGCAAGAGCAAAGCAAAAGCAAGAGCGGGAGTAAGAGCAAGAGCAGGAGCCAAAGCGGGAGCTACAGCAAAAGCAGCAGGAGCAGGCGGGAGAGATGCAGCAGAAGCAGGAGCAAAAGCC